CCAGGTACTATTCTGAGTACTTTGCTAATATGAACTCATTTTAAGTTCCAACAACCTTAGTAAGTACTATTGTCATTCCCATTTTATAGATGAGGACACCAAAACATTGATAATTTAAGCAGTTTGCGTATGCTTACACAATTAGCACAGAACCAGGTGAGACCAATTTCCCATCCATTGTGTCACATAACCTAGACATGCATGATATTTTTCCTTGCAGAAATTTCTGCTCTATGGACAGTCCCAGAAGCATTTCCAGTCCTTTCTTCAACACCCTGGCTACAGGGTGCTATGCTAAGTGATTTTTTTTTTTTTTTCTCAAAAGGAAAGTAATTCATATATTAACCACTCAGCAGGAAGTATTTTTGACTATTCATAGTATGCAAAATCCTGTTTGGGAAATAGTAACTATAGTTACTATAGTATCACCATCACAGATTAAGGGATTTCCATTTGGTCTTTTGAACTGGTGCTCTCCACTGGAATAAAACACTTCTAGAAAGTATTTCCTCATATTTGCATCCTTCAGAACTAATAGCATCTCCCCGTGAGCTGATGCCTTAACTGTAGACTTTGATATATATAAATCTTCCAAATGCCTGTCCACAGAGTCCTGGAATTCTGGGAGGTAACTATGAATGTGTTCTGTAAAGGGCTTTTTCCTCTACAAAGTGTTCCCTTGAAGGCAGCTGTGGCATCACTGAGGGTACTGACCAAGGCTCTGAGGACCTATTCCTCATCTACTAGGCTAAACTCTTCATATGCATGGCACTCACCTTGTACTGTCCAGCCAAAGGGGTTGGGACAGTTGGTAGTCACTGGTATTTTCTTTTTGGTCAGAGTGAACTAAATGTTGCTGCCATACAGAAGTCCTGTCATTCTTCTCTGCAAAACCAGATTGCCTGTGATTTGGGCTCAAGTCTTTCTCCATGGTATATTGGGAACATATCATGGATATTTCTGTTTCTAGTATGCATAATGGATAAAGGACATGGTGTGTTGTTGATTCGATTTTCAATAATTTTTAATATTAATAATGAAATCCGCATATACATCCTTCAGAGTATAACCAAGTGAATCAATCCAATTGGCAAAAAAGTAGGAAACCTGATAATACCAGAAGCCTTACCTTGTTGGTGAGAATGTAAAGCATTTTGGCATTTTCTATCAGAATTTAAAATGTGCATATTCTTTGATCCTGCTCTGGTGAATTCATCCTATAAAAATAATCACTAGGTATCTAAGATTCCCTATACAATATAACCTAACCACACATCAGAAAAAAAAAAATGAATTCAGGTGTGAGAAGAATTACCTGAGATTCATAAGAGAGGCCTAAGATGAGAGAGAATGTCTCATGAAGTCCTGAGGGAAGACTACTGCATTGTAGAATAACTGTAATATGATATCATTCCTATATTAAGTTAGAAAAAGCTCTCCAAATTCTTAACAGCAGTTACTTTTGGTGTGAGAAGGAAGATGTACTTTCTTTTTTTATATATATAAGTAATTATTATGTTTTAAACATGGTGACCTGTAAAGGCATCCTTTATCTAGATTACCTAGAAACAGGGCCCCAGTGAAGTGAGGCCTTTGAGCAGTGGAGATATTGGCCCAATTTTCAAGCAGAGGGAGCAGCAATGTCACAGCCCTAAAGTGGGAACCATGTGAACATATCCAAGAAAGTGCAAGGAGATTTCTATGCATAGTGAGCCAGAGGAGGAGGAGATGAAGTCTGAATGGTGTTAGGGTTTTGAGGGACAGCTGTGAACAGATGAGAGAGGGAATGGGATTCATGGTTGATGACAAGGATCACCCTGGCTGCATGTGGACAGCAATGGAGGTTGGAGATAGTGACTTTAAACTGTTGGGATGTGACCACATCAGTCCCAGGCCCAGCAAGAGATGTTTTACATCATCACTCCCATCAACTTTCTTCTCCACTTGCTTGAGTACTAATGTTCTCAGGTGTTCTTTTGGCCACAAAATAGAGGAAAACAGTTATTCTAACTTGAATGTAACAAAAGGATTCTGGCCAGCTTATTACCCATGAAATTCTTCACAAGTGACAGATTATCATCATAGAGAACTGGAGACTAAGCATTTTCAGAAGGCTTATTAGCACACATAAAACCCCAGAATTTTAGAAGAATTTAGACTTTACTGGGGAATTAAGTCAAGACTAGCCTAATCATAAAAACTATGATGGACCTCCCTTTTCAATCCATTGATACCTTAGGGAGGGGGCAGTTAATGCATATCTCACCATCCTTAATCTCATCAGCCCCCAAATGAGAAACTGGCTTCAGGAAGAACTCTCCTCTAGGGGTATGGCGGGCCATGGAACCCTCTATAGTGATTGACCTACTGCAGCCAGTTCCCAGAGTAAGCTTTGTGAAGTGACTGTGTTCATGCCACAGATTTCTTCTCTTAAGAGAGCCAGCTATAGCCGTGCAGTAATGCACACCTATAATCCTTGTGGCTCAGGAGGCTAAGACTGGAGTATCGAGTTCAAAGATAGCCTCAGCAACAGCGATGCACTAAGGAACTCAGCGAGACCCTATCTCTAAATAAAATATAAAATAGGGCTGGGGATGTGGCTCATTGGTTGAGTGCCCCTGCGTTCATCCACAGTACCTCCCCCACCCACAAAAAAAGAGCCAGGTATAAAAAGTTTATTAGAAATCACAAGATAAAAACAGGCCATGAGACCTTCACTGTCCAGAGTTCTTTAAGATATTGTTTAGGAGTCTTGGTCTAGTAGTAAATTGCAAAGAATGAAAAATGCAGACCTATAATATATGGTCCTTTCAGGCAGACTAAAGATTTGATACCAAGAATAGATTTGATCTTTTTTCTCCCATAAATAATAGTGTTTGAAATGATGTAGAAGGATGAGGTTGATATCCAGAACATAGAAAATGGGAAATGTAACAAAAACTTTTTAGAATCTGGCTTGAATAAGATTTTGTCTACAGAAATGTATTTTACCGATGTTTTGTTTAGAAAAGGATTATTTTAAGGGTGATTATATATTCACTTTTGCCAAAGGATTGTGGCAATATAGCTGTTAGATCTGTGCAAATAATAGATAAAGCACTGCTGCAAATTTTATTTTCCTATGGCCATTAGCTTACACAGAATAAATATTCGTTAAAACATTTGTCAGATATTAAATTTCATGTTACCCTAATAGGATATAATTACATATAAGTGTTTTTTTTTTTTTTTTTACAGGCAGAGATGTTGATATTGACATAAATGTAGATTCAGTAATAACTAATTCTTAGACCACTGTAGTTATTGAATTACAAAACAGTAAATGTTTTTAAACTCTTCTAAATCATTTTCATTTTCAAATATAACAGCATTAGATTTTTAATGTGAATTTCCACTCTCTGTTGAGGTAGAGTAATATAATGTTTTCTATTGGAAAAGTTTAAAGAATTGAACTTTTTATTAACCACTTAATAGCAAGGAAAGCTTCAGAGGTTTCGGGAACTTTCTTAACCTTCCTTCCCTCAAACCAGTGTATAAGGAGGACAGTGCTATTCCTAACACAACCCCACAGGCATTCTGAAGTAGTGTCTTCCATGGGACGAAAGTGAAGCCTTGACTTTCTACTAAAGGGAAAAGAGTTGGTCATTGGGTGAGGCTTGGGCATGGGACAAAAATACTGTGTTTCATCCATTACTTGGTAATAAGTAACAAACAAAAAGTTTTAAAACTTTTAATAGTTTGTTTACCAGATTTACAAACTATATATGAATGTCATGTCTGCAAATACCAAAAGGGCCCTATCAGAATGCTCCCATTCTCATGTTCAAACCTGTCTCTCTCAGCCTCTCTTCTATAATTTCAGAAATTTCTCATGTCCTAATAGTTTTTTACTCTACACCTACTTCAAGAAAGCATTAGACAAATGGTATTTTTTTCCTGTCCCGTTTTACCTCCCCCTCCTCCCTTTCAACAAAATAGAAAAGTTAGTTTAGTCATATATAACCAAAGGAGGAAATGACAAGTAATGAATTCAAAAATTAATGCAAAATTCTCATAAATTTTTAGGGTAGGCTGTTTGTTCACCTTGACAACTCACACTGAGACCATAGAACTGGATAATGTGATATATATTTAAAACTCTTTGCAGTTATAGAATCATACCTGATTTATACTGCTAATAATTTTTACTCTTATATTCAGACCCTAGCTATAAGAACTTGAAATCAGTATGATAAAGCATAAATCAGGAATTCATTAATATAGCCTTGGAATCTAATCTGGGTAAAAGAAAAACAAATTATAAAACAACCTCTTAAAGCCTTCAAAATCTTCCTAAATACTATTTTTAAGTAGTACAAAATAAATAAATATCAAATATTTTATTCATACCACCTCTAGCCATAGTTATCATTTAGATTAACTGGTAATTGTAGAAAATCTAAAGAATTTGCCAGGTAACTTTTTTGCCAATGGATAGCTTTCTAACTTCATTCTAAATTACTAATGAGAACTTTAGACATAATTTTATGTAGCCTTTTGTGATTGTTTTGCTAGAAAGTATATTCCACTACTGAATAATGTTAATACCCCATGAAAATATAATTGAATATGTAAGCCTTTTCAAAATTTTCCCCAATTCTATTCAAATGAAAATGGTTGCATAAGTCATTGTTGCAAAATTGGATTTTCAGAATTAATCTTAGTTTGTATTTGACTTATTGTTTGAGAAATTCAAGAGTATTTATGATTATAAAGTTGTTTTCTATTGAAGATACCTAATAGGCCTAAATGATATTGTGCATCAGTTTTCTTTCAAAGGATTTCCATGAATTACTAAAATTAAACATTCTTGAAAAATTTAACATTTATCATAGATGTGTTTCTTTAGAAATATATATCAGACGTGGCTTTAATCTCTGAAATGTGATGCTGTACACTTCCATGTGCAGGTCATCTCACCTGGCTTTTTGTTTTTGTTGTTGTGAAAATGTTCGATTCAGGTTCTACATGGTCAGCTATTATGAGAGGAGTCACAGAATAGCAGTTGGAGCACGCCATGGTTCAGTGGCCCTGTACGACATCCGGACTGGAAAATGTCAGGTAAATAAATCATCGTGACTTCCTCTCCATAAAGTGTGGAAGTTATTGAAAGGAGAAAGAGACCAGCACTTCACCAGTTGACGTGCTGAGCTGCTGGAACATTATGGATAATGCTAAAGGGATCAATAGTTTAATGAAGGACTCAAAGCATATAGAGCCCCACTGTCTTTATTCACTAGGACTGAAGGGCTGCCACAGATGGCTTCAGGATAGAGCCCAGAGTGAGGGGGTACTGCTCTCCAGCAACTTTGCAGTACACCTCTTCTTTTTTAAACAAGGTTTTCTGGTCTCCTTAATTTTGTCATGAGTTTTCTGAAAAAAAGTTGATGATGCACGGGTATGATATAATGGTTGAACAAAAATTTATTCTCTAAGTTAAATGATTTATTTACATGGTAACAGGTGTTTATTTAATTGCAAGACAGTAATCTAGTCAGAATTCATAAAAAGAAAAAGCAATTTCATTTAGTAAAGCTTTATTAAAAAATAAAGTAATGCTGTCTTTGAAATAATATTACTTTGTATACTTTTATAACACTTTTTATGTTTTTATAACATGTTACTCTTTATTAAAAATTCATCTTGGTTTTGATCTTGATCACCTTATTCTCAAAATATAACAGTTAGATAGACAGGGCTAGTCTAGCCCTACTTTAGATATAAGGGAATTGAAGCTCAGAGCTTTAGTAGCTTTATCCCAGAGTCACATTAGTGGCTAAGGGCAAACCAGACCTAGGCACCATTGAGATGGCAAAATTATACCATTCATTGATAAATAGTGCCAAAACAGCTTCTCGCCCCAATCCTCTTCCTCCTTCTCCTCCTCCTTCTCTTCTTCTTCTCCTTGTCCTCTTCCTCCTCCTCCTCCTCTTCCTTTTTATTGATTCTTTTTAGTTCTACATAACACTAGGATTCATTTTGACACAATCATAAAAGCACAATAGATAGCTTCTTATGTTTCATTGTAGTGTTTATTAATGCTGATATATTTACCTGTCTTGTAGTGTAAGGAATTTCCAGAAAGAGTATGAAAAAATTAATGAGGAGGTGACTAAAATTTTAGGCTGTCTCTTAAATGCAATAAACTGTTCATTAATCCTCCAAAACTTCCCTGTCAGCTTTCAGTGAAATAGTTCTAAGAGATGGTAACAGGTGTTGGGGTAAAACATTCAACAGGCAGACAAGTTTGGGAGATCTGTTTGAATATTAAGCACATTTATTTGTTCAGACTCCTGAGATGGTCATGTGTGAATGTGCTTTGCACATAGATTATGCACCATTGCTATACTTATTAACTGTTGGATTGTGTTGGCATGTGTAAACCTCTTATCCCATGACATATTCCTTTATGCTGGGCTGTCACTGAAATCACTCTGAATGCTTGTCTAAAAATTAAGTTACACGATATTTATAATATTCTTTCAGAAGAGAGATTCTTCAAAGGGCATTTTCAGACTCTTAAGACAAATATTTTTCTCTTTTTAAACCTAATTTTTAAAACAGATATATAAAAATTATATGTATTGATGGAGCGCCATGTGATGTTTCAATACATGTATATGTTGTATAGTGTTTAAATCAGGTTAAACATCTTTATTTCCTCAAACACTAATCATTTCTTTGTGGTAAAAACATTCATATTCCTTTTTTCTAGCTTTTTAGTTCAGCACATTGTTATCTATAGTCACCTTACTGTCCAGAACACACCGGAGCTTTCTATTTCTATTGAACTGTAATTTAGTACCCATGGATCAACCTTCCCCAATTTTCCCCTGTCCTCTACTCTCCGTAGCTTCTGGTAACCACCTGTTTTTAAAACAGTGTGAAAAATTGGAGTTTATTAGACTTTGAGAGAAATAAACTACAAACATCTGCAAGGTAAAGATGGGGAAAAAAATAACAGGAGACCTTGTAAAGCTTCAAAAATGAACTGAAGAAATTCTAGAGAAGATTCTTCATTATCAGATGAAATGCAGTTGCCACTGGCAGACAGCCAAGTGAACCAGTGAGTGCAGTGAGCTAACCAAAAGCAAGCTGGAGGACAGCAAGTGTACACTAGTGACCAAGGACCAAAGTGCACTGAAGTATACGTTGCTTTCCATTTCTCTTCCTACTAAGTGGTCTCAGTGATGAACTCAGTAATATACTGAAAACGTTAATGTTTTGAATACCTTCTTTTTTTCAACTGGTTTACTTGAGATACACTTACCGAAGTCATTCTTTCTTCAAAGGAATTTGAAATACCATATTTTCTGTACATTATTTTGATGCATTATTTTAGTGTCCCCATGATTTTTTTGTACTTCATCTTCTTGATTTTAGTACCTAAAATTATCATTAGTGTTGCTAGGGTGAATAGCCTTTGCTTTCCCATTTTGTATGAAGGGAAAACCTACCCTTTTCTCTCTCATCATTCTGTGAAAACACAGCTAAATCTCCAAGGTTTATCTTAACTACTCTTGCCAGCTATCATTTATATCCAGTGACAATGAACCTTAAAAGATTCTCTTACTTCTTTTATTAATGTTGTAAGATTTAAGATAAAGTGAGTGAACATCTGAAACAGCATATAGTGTAGATAGCGTGCTTAGAAAAGGTGTTTTAAGAAGTGAATCATAGGATCATTTTGAACTAGGAATGCGGTAAAGCATTTCTTGAAAAATATTTTGGAGTCAGTTACAGGGACAGTGGGGTGATTTTTCTAGCATGAGCAAAGACACAGAGATATAACATAAAAAATTTAGAAGGGATATTTAAAAAATTTACCTGATTATAGGAATAGGGTCCCAATAGGTGGAAATATAAAGTCTAATGCCTTAGATGGAATAAGGGTCAGATATGTCTCTTGCTGTAATTAGATTTGCTGGTACAGAATAAAGGAAAAATTAAGCCCCTTTATCTTACCTTTTGACTTAAAAAAAAAAAAAAAGAAAAGAAAGAAATCAATGTTCTTTTGATCTGTTCCTCCCAGACTTGAAGAGGAGGTTATACAAAGCCATAGGATGAATATGATGTAACTATCTGGAACATGAATTTTACAGAAGTTAAGAGTTGGCAAAGTATGGCCCAAATCTGTCCTGCTGCCTGTTCTAATAAGTAAAGTTTTATTGGAACACAGCCACACTCATTCAATTATGCATTGCCTACCACAATGGCAGAATTGAGTAGTTGGCAACTGGCAAAGAACCTTTGTGATCTGAAAGCTAAAAGATTTACTATCTGCCCCTTTATAGAAAAGGTTTCCTGACTTCTAACCAAGGTGATTGAGGAGGAAGAGTTGACTAATTTAACTAAAAGTGATTTAGAACATTATAGTGTAATGTTAAGAATAATTAGAATAGTAAGAACAATTAGAAAGATGTGTGGGTTTGAATCCCATATCCACCACTAATTAGCTTTATAACCTTGAGAAAGTCTTCTAACTTCTCAGAGCTGAAATTTCCTCATCTGTAAAGTGGCAATAGAAATAGCACCTATTATTGGGACAAGTGTTAAAGAATTTTTTCAAAACACTTGTTGAAGATGGTGAGGCGGTCTTTATCAAGGAGGACCATCCTGATAGGTATGGGGACCACTGCAACAGGGTCTTGCAAAGCAGAAGGATTGGTTTCTGACTTTCACAAGGAGCAGATTGAGGTCCATAAGTGGAAAGTTACTAAGAGGAAGCACGCAATGTAGGGGCTTTCTACTTAAACTTGCTTAGTAGCATTTGTGGCCAAGTGTAGGCTAGAGTGGTGAGATACTAAGGGTGGGGGGTTTTCTCTAAACTGACTTAGGGGATTCTTTCTTAAATGAGTTCAGCAAGAAAGACAAAGAGGGAACCCCAAGGTCAGGCCTAGTCAAGCAGAGGACTCCAAAGAACCTAATTCAAGTCTCTGCCAGAAGTAAATAAGGTAATTTATATAGATACTTAGCTATCTTGTAGTTAGTATCCTGTAAGTGTGACTGTTATCACATTAAAATAAATTCAGAAACATACTACATTATAATTAAATTTCATTAATACTAGAGAGAACTTTAAAGAAAAAAAAAGTGCTAAGAACTCACTCTCCTGACTTAGAAGTGCTTTGGTGGCAAGTGGAGGCAGCTGCATGAGGCCATGTGTGGGTGTTTTTCCAAAGCCTCTCCTGCCTGCAGTGTCAGGATCTTACAAAGCAGGAGAAGGATTGGATTCTGACTTTCACAAGGAGCAGAGTGGGGTCCATAGTGGAAAGTTACTAGACCCCAAGGTAGGGGGTTTCTACTTAAACTTACTTGGTAGTATTTGTGACCAAGAATAGGCTAGAGTGGTCAGATACCAAGGGTGGGGGGTTTTCTCTACTGACTATGATGATCAGAAACAGATGGGATTCAATAGTTAAAATTCTGCTGTGCTGCTGACTTCAAAACTGCTAAGCAATTTAGGAACGTACCTGCCTCAAATTTCATTGAATTAAAAAAAAAAAAATCTAGGACCCTTTTAAATGCTTAAATTTTGTTGCCAAGTTGCTAAGCAGGCAGATTACAGCCCATGCCTCCCTTGTGCTCTTTGAATATGTATTTGGTTAAATCGAGACTGAAAATCCCCTCTGGTTTGACAAACGTGATCTCCTATCTCACTGATGTCCAGTCCTTTTTGAATCCATCATTTGTAACAATTGCTGACTCTGTGCTGGGTTCTCTTGGGTTCACGTTAGCTGGTTTTCCTTATGAAGTTTGCACCGTGTCACTTGGAGGTGCCTGATCCACTTTGGTAAATCCAAGCTCACTTTCTTACCGTGCTTTGGCAAAGCACTACAAAAAAGCAGTGATGTTTGAGAGAAAGAAAATAAGCCTGAAGGCTTCTCCTTATCTGAAATTATGTTTTAAAAAACTTTGTTACTGAAAAGTTTGAGTAAATGCCTTAGAAAACCTATTCTTAAAATCCCATATTTATCTAGTGTCTGGTACATAGGAGAAATACAATGAAATACACGTTGATCAGATTTTTAAAATCCTAACTCTTCAAAATAAAAAAATAT